AGGGATGTGGCGAATGTGGAAATTTAGACATCCGCGATATGTTGATGCGGATGTTTAAAAGCTAACAGGTAAATGTAAATGATGTAAATTATTTTTAAGAAATAATTGTAGTGAGTACATTAGGGGATTTAGGTAAATAAAAAATGGAAAAGTTATTAATTTTTAATAATGTTTTTTTATTTAGTACTTCAATTAAAAAATTGGAAGATTGTATTTAAGAAAGAGTAATTTTGCTGCCTTTTCGGGTTACAGCCTGTTTCCGAACGGGTCGTAAATCAAATCTGCGCCCCTAAATAACTACTCGCTCGAAGCGACAAGCTTGACAAAATTGTTAATTTTTTTCGATTGACGCTGCACCAGTTGAGACGACTTTCAGTTATATTTCTTTTTTTATTGCGGTGCAACAATTCGTTTTTGGGAATTGAATCGGGGCTGCAAATGTCGGATGTATCCTCCTGACTTTCATCTTCACAATCTAACATCATGGCAAGACCGCTGTTTAAACACCGTTATGTTCTAATTTGGAGCACCAATTCTTTTGGTTGTTTCAGAATTTGGAGATCCTATTACGTCATCAGCGTTTTTCGATTTTAATTTTTGTAATTCATTTTTAATCCTGTCTTCTGTGACTGGTTTGAAAAATGTGCGCTTGTAGCGAGGTTGTGAATAGGAATGAAAATTTCGAAGAAAATTCTGTTTTGAAAGTCGTGGCTGCCAACAGAATTAGTTTAAAATCTTGTTATTTTGTTAAAAAGGTACCCCGTTTCGTATAATAATTTGAATTATGGAATCACGAACGATAAAGGCCTCAGACTTGCTTAGTACCCGGGTGACTTCTTGGAAAGGTTCACCTGCAATGAATAGCTTGTAATTAGTTTTTTTTATTAGTTAGCGGAACTCGCCTTTCCCTAGTTGCAGGCAGTCACAATGAATTACTTACCGCTGTCGGTACCGCAAGCCATCAAATCCCTTTTGTTGTTTTATGCATGCGCTCAATGTGTTTTGATATTTTTTTTTTAACCAATTGAATACCTAAAACGATGTGGAGACTTATGATTCGATGAAATGCATCATAATCAATCAAAAAGTCAATTTTGGACTTTTAGTTAGTTACGGCTTTTCGTATTTCAGCGACGATGTGAGTTACGCCCTTTCCATACTATACTAACGATATATTACAT